AATGTTGAAAGAATTTTTGAAATCAGCCCAGTATCATTTGAGTTATTTCAATACATACAAAAATTTGTATTTTTCCTCATAACATTAGTATATATAACAAAGAGTTTGATTGTTTACTGTGCTCTTCTATCTCACTTATAGCTGGATCATCTATCGACATTAAAATTTGTAAAAATCATAGAATACAAGATAACTAACTACCTTAAGGTATAAATAATTTAAAAGGATGTCACCCCACGCAAAAAGAACAGCAAGATCTTGTTTAATAGACATTTAGAGATAGATTAAGGAAACTCCACCCACGTGTATGTCCACAGATAACTGCTTTTGTAAACATAAAGCGATAAAAATAGCGTCATAGATGCAAAAACGGACATCGCTTCGAGGCCAATGGACTTTCGTTCATTGTTTATAATCTGTTTTCTCAGAATTGGGATGATTAATTCTTAAACATTCTATAAAATTTTAGCACTACGATCCGAAGACGACAGACTTTTATTCTGTCTGCATCTCTAATTATTTATTTCAAACTCTTGCTTTGGAAATACAATTTTACTCTCGTTATTCTATTACAACTCTTTTATTTTAATCGTTTGAGTTATCAATACAAATATTATAAGAATTCAACCTCTTTCGTAGGAACAAAGAGTTCTTACGCTGTCAATAGGGTAGAACTGGCAATGTGAAAGCTACGCGGTTGTAAAAGTTAAAAAATAAAAACAAAATACAATCAAATACAATATGAAAGAACGGTTTGAGATAGGATTTTTAGTAGTTCATCTTATACCTAAAATTGTTATGTTTTTATTGTTTCGTGCAAACTTTCATTTACAAGGTAATAATTTAATAATATTATGCTAATAGTATAAACGTGAAAGTTACGATGTTTGTTAGAGTTTGTAGCCTAAACTACTGAACGGATCTCAATGAAATTTGGCGTAGATGTAGAGAATAGTCTGGAAGAACACATAGGCTACTCACTTTTGTTTTTCACGCGAACTGAGTCGCGGGCGAAAGCTAGTTTACTATATACAATTCGTTTTAGAACATAGAAAATATACTTCGATTCAATCCATCAATCATCTGGTACTCAACGTTGAGTGCAATCTCTGATACCGACGAATCAAGAACTGGCGCATTTATGTAACCTACATCATCTCTATGTGGGAGTTACTATGAAAACTTTCGTAGCATATTTCTATGTAACAGTATATTCTATTTTTTCTACCATTTTTAGTTACATTTTGTGTTCATTAACCTCATGTATAGACCGGAGTAAAAGATTCCTCGGACTCTATTACATTTAAATATGTGTTGAACTTAAGATTGGTTTAATCTTACTTCTTACTTCTTACCAATATTATAAATGCGAAAGTTTAGATGGATGGATGGATGGATGGATAGATGGATGGATGGATGGATGTTTGTTAGCGTTTGTAGCCTAAACGGCTGAACGGATTTCCATGAAATTTTGCACAGGTTTAGAGCATAGTCTGGAAGAACACATAGGCTACTTTTTATCCCGGGAATAGTTACGGTTCCCGTGGGATTCGTTAATCTAGTGTTAGGATAAATCTTTATATTTATTCCTATATATAATCTATATTTATTGCGTAATTACAAGACCTGTCTTTTCTACTAATTTTTTTTTATATCATATGTTGGCAAATGAGCAAATGGCCACCTCTATCCGCCAAAATTGGTGAAGTGATCGCTGCCCATAGACGTTCGCAATAGCGGATGCATTGCCTACCTTTAAGCGACGGAGGAGGAAACGCACATAAAGACGATATATCCCCTTCCTATAACTCTGCCAGCGTCAAGTCCCTTCCCTTCCCATCTTTTTCTTATAAGATAAAGAGCGAGAAGGAAAAGGGACTAAAGTTGGGTTCTGGCACCACACTCATTAGACGAAACGCGGAATTGCTTCCACTTCACGCCTGTCTTCTGTGTAGCCGTGGTATTTTACCGGACGAGCCATTCGTGGGAAGTTATTAAAGCGGGCTCTACCACTGTCTATAAATTTGATTTTTTACTTTTATTATCGCTAGATATTTTCTCACTTTTATAGGGTTTTGTGTGCGCGAATTTATTGAAGAAATAGTAAATATATCTATACTTATGAGCTTACGAATTGTGCGCTGTTTACTTATTTATGAATATAATTTGCAAGTAAAAATATATAAAACTTGCAAATTAAATTTTCCGCCGACATAATCTCTTTGTTTGTTATATTATTACCACAGACAAAATATTGCGGTAACAAACGTTGCTCCGCGCTGCGTCTTGTTCATTTAAATTAGGGCGAGGGAACTAAAAATGTAATTTTGTATATTCTTGAACGTTAGCCGCGGAGTTTGTAATAAAAAGCAACTAAAACCCAAAAAATAGTAGATAATTTCATCTATTTTTATTTATAAAGTCAAGATAGTTTTAGGTACATTTTGTTACCTAAAACTATCTTGACTTTGACTTGTATTTTCTTTCTAATTCTGCAAAGAATAGTAAGGTGGATTACATTGGTACCTCTAGTTATTCTAATGTCATTAGAGTTTTTGATGAAACATAAATCAAATGTATGCTTTACAATATATTGTCTACAAAAAAATTAAAAGGACCTGCCCCACCAAATTGTAAATTGTCCAGTCACAATCCAACGCATAACGGACGACACGACAGACCGCCAGGTACCATCCTCACCATCTCGATGGCTGGCATTCCACAACCGTGCGGTTTTCGCGGAACTTTCTGCCCCGCACAGCCGCGTTGTGGAACGGTCTGTCCTCGGCGGTATTTCCAAACCAATACGACTTAGGGTCCTTCAAGAAGCGAGCCTATCATTTTCTCAAAGGCCGGCAACGCATCTGTAGTTCCTCTGGTGTTGCGGATGTCCATGGGCGTCGTTGACCACCTTGGTGTACACGCCGCTCGTTTGCCCCCTTTTACTATAAAAAAAATATATGTGATGGAAATATCGGATTTTGTTCCCTAATTTGACATTGACGTCATTTTTAAGGTATCTGAGTCTCTATCAGCCAATGATAGGACAGACCCTTAATGTCCGGCTGACACTTCGCCAGTACAGTTAGACAATTGTGACGACTAATCATAGATCGTACGGACCCACTGGTGTTACCATACACACTGTGCCAGTTGATTAACAGTCCAGTTATTAGCGTTACTACCCAACTGTGCTGGCCAAGTGTGAACAGCGCATTAGTAATTGTATTAGTCCGACTCTTAAACTGTTTCGTGGCGTCATGTTTATCGAATCGAAAATAACTTTTTAATGTTTAAACGAAAACGACGCATGAGTCAACTAGTTTCTTATTCTTGTGAAATAAATTATTAAAACAATAATAAAACGGAAGGTCGAAGTATCGTTTTTACTAAACAATTCTTTCGTTAAAAACTGGCAGCTGAAAAGTAATATTGTATCTATGTTAGAACGACCCCTGAAGTAATCCATACCATCTAAATAAATGTAAACTATCTGTTTTTGATTCTTATTAGTTTTCGTTTAAATTGTAGCAGGGGGACGAAATACGTACAAATACACGATTTTGTTAACGGCGGACGGCCGTCCGCAGTTTTCGGTTGTTTCCTTGATGTCGTTCGTTGAGTGAGTGGGAGTCGGAAGCCAGGGTTGCCACAGGCGTCCGACAATTATGTCTTGTCTATTGGTAGTTTATTATTTTATAAATTATTATTTAGTAAATTAATTATTCTTTATTTTATTTTACATTTTAAACACTATCAAAGATAAATTCTTTATTTACTGATAAAAACACACTATTTACAGAAATTGAAAAAATTGCATTTTGTTAAACATAAAATGTTATTACATCTCTTGAGTCACATTTTTCATTTCATTCAGATTTAGTTCATTTTCTTGTTAAATACATTTATTTTTCTAATGCTTTCTTGGCGGCCAGCATGAAATTTTGCTTAACCACCATCCTTATGAGTTTTAGCAAGCTGTAGCTTATGTTACCGTGATTTATCTTGATACATCATATTTTTTAACTTCTTTAACCAGCACTGAAGTCGCAGGCAAATGATGGTATGCCCTAGCTTAATAAACACTTATTGACTTTACTCTTAAAGGTTTTTTGTACAAGTTTCAACATTGGAAATAAAACGTAAAAACATTCAAATCATTTATACCTTAGTAGGGTAAACATTATTAAAATAAAGCGTTCATAGTCCACCGAGATGGTTACCTTTAACTAAACAAATTTAATAATGTTAAAAATAATCTTTACTATAGCTGACATTTACAAGAAATTGCTTTCAGGGCGATTAAGTCTATCTTGCGGTTTCTGTCTATATCCACAAGAATATACACGTGTTTCTAATTTAATAAATCTACTTATTAAATGTAAATATTTAGCTTATATTTCAATTATTAGTGGTTCAGGGTTAACTTTTCATAGAATTATACAATAGATATAAGAATTACTCTTTGTTATTAACAAGAAACTATTAAATAATAAATACTAGACCACTGATAATGGATGATAAATGTATACTAACATTATAAAGAGGAAAGATTTGTATTTTTGGATTCTTGTGTTTATTAAAATAACTCAAAAACTACTGGATCGATTTCAAAAATTCTTGAACCATTAAAAAGCTATGTTATCACTGAGTAGCATAGGCTATTTTTACTGTATTTTTTTTAAATTGTACGCTTGCTATGTCGCAACAACTACGAGTAATGTTTGATTATGTAAACCTTTTGGTTTTAATTATTTTATGTTCTAACTGTCTTTATTAATTAATTCGTATACTTGAAGAAAATGTATGATAATTCATTACATATTAATTGTATCGCATGACAGGTTTCGACATTAAAAGGCTGTCTGTGTGTCAGGAATTTGTCGCCTAATCTTTGCACATTTATGTAAGCGTAATATGTTTATATTTTTAATATAATTATAGATAAAAGAACAATGTTCCCAGTATACGGCTACGTAGATGCAGACCGAGAGCGCGGCGTACTCCGCAAACGGCAAACGGCTATGGGAGTCCGTAGCGAAAGGTTGTATTGACGCGATGTCTACATAATTCGATATTTAAGTACGGCGAAATATACCAAATAATTTATATTCTAGTGTATCGTGTAGTGGCTAATTTTAGTGTAGTTTCTGGATATCTTTCCGTTTGGTAAGTAGTTATTAATTCTTTTTTTTAGTTTATGTTGTGTTAAGGTTTGGTCCTTTTTTTTAAAACGAGTAAATATTTTTTTTTTAATTTAGAAATGTTGCTTTGAGTTCATAATCAATTGATTTAAATATGTTTATTTTTAAGATTCATTCATTTATACAAAATTTTAAATTCAAAATTCAAATTTAACATGGTTTAATTTTTAAAATTATTTTAACCTTTTTAAGTTGCTACTTTATTATTTTTTAAATTATCACAATTGTTGTAAAATTCAGTTACGGTACAGATTCAGACTTTGAGGCAATTTAAATTGATTTTTAGTCAATAGTTATATATAGTTTTTCAATGAAGCGAAATAACGGAGAATTTCATGTTTATGCTTTATTTGGAAACATGTAAATTCTATTGGTAAATAACAACAATTTTAGTCTAAACATGCGGCGACAGAAAGAGCGGATCTGAATTCGTTATCATTGTGGACATCCCGTCTGTCAACAATGAACGATTTATACATACATGTAACGATTACTTTTTTTACTTCATTAAATTCTAGCTTTCGCCCCCGACTCCGTATGTGCAGAATCAAAAATAAAACTTAGTGAGCATACTGTCTTCCAGGTTATGTTCTACATATGTGCTGTCATCGAGATCCGTTCAGCAGTTTAGGCTACAAACTCTAACAAATATCTATCCATTCAAACTTTCGCATTTATAATATTAGTAAGATGTTAATTAAGTTTCGATTACTAGATACATAATAAATACAAACATTATATTCAAAACTGTATTTTGACCAAACGATGACTAAAATTTAGTTAAAAAATGTGGTTTTGGTCTTAAAAAGTGATCTAAGAGCTCTACCTAGTCGCAGGAATGTATAATTCGATTGCAAATACAGTTATAAATTGCCGTTTCTAACTTTTTAAATATTTACGAATATTAATAATTTAACTAAGTAACTATTATAAATGTCTAATTTATAAACCAGATGTTTTCATTCAATGTTCACATGTACTTTTCGTAAGTGGTAATTCTTTTAACATGTGGGGTTGAATAAATGCTTTACATATACCCTATATCTCCCATTATCCTCATGTTTAAATCAATTTATTGATTTAAAGATTCAAGTGGGTTTTTTTTTCGATTGCTGTTAACCGAGTTATATCGTACCCTTTCCCCTATTGATAGTCGGCGCAGTATATACTAATCTTCTATACATGTCTATGACGTCTTATATACTTTAAACATATATCATCATTATCCACCTTATCCTATTCCCATAGGGTCGGCACAACAGGTTTTTGTCCTCCAAATAACTATCATACGTCATCTCAATCATCACTCCATTTTTGATCATGTCACCTTTCACGCAATCCATTTATTTTTTTCTTCTCTTTCTTTTCTTACTTTAAACATATATTTATATATAAAAATACAAAATAGAATTTCACCGAGTAGATATTATTTCACAGTAGCCTTTGTAGAGCAAACACTTCGGAGTTAATTTGTAAATTATTTAAATTGGTGTGATACCGCCCGCGGGTACCTCAACTGAGGTACACCAAACCTTTGTTTCATTTTAAATAACAATCTTCGTTTAATTCTCGGAATTTGGAGGTTTGTTTTAGTAAAAATATTTTTTACAATCTCGACTTCATCCGCGTTATGAGTTTTCGGAAAAGTAACTGAAACATTTTAGGTCCTGTAAAACTTAAAAAAGTATTTTCTTAAAACCTCTATGCAAAATTTAAAAAAGTCAAGAAACGTAAATATTAGGCAGTTATAAATATAATGTATGTGATTAAATATACCGGTTTAAGCTCTTATAAGAATATAGGGGTTCAATGGCGTGAGCGTCGTCTAGCAGTGCTCGTTCCTTGTTCGCCGAATCAAAACAAAGATTGGCTAAACAGGTGCAAATATATATGAACAACATATCCTCCATTGCCAGACAAATACAGCGAGTATCTAGATTTAATAAACTATCAAAGGCAACACGTATTATGGCTGCAGTTGAACACATAATGGAAAACATGAAAGAAAATTTGAAGAAGATGCAACTTATTGAAAATGCAATCAAAAACCGCATATGCAAAATTTTACATCTAAATAACAATAATATTAAGTAGTGTATTTCAGTCTGTTCTTTTTAAATTCTGATATTAGACTCCGTTTAAACATAAGTACAATTCGACATAGGATTCTGTCGGCTCTTACAAAGATTAACTTGTCAAGTGGTCTCGGCCATTTCTCTGGGCCGTAATAAAATCGAACGCCGGCCATAACTCTTGTGCCAGAGATAAACTTTAAAGAACTATTCATATCAGGAGTGAGGTCGATGATCTTTTACAGTTATTGTTTCGACGGTAATAAATTGGTTTATAACAGACATGAAAGAAGGAATTTAAAATTGTCTATTCGTTGCTTTGATTTTTCAACTCATATAGAAACAAATGCGTCTTTTAACTTTTACTATTTTATATTTATGTGTGCATTTTTGCATATTTAATTCTTAAATGATAGTGAAATCCGGTACATCATATTTAACTAGATATGATAACAATGTGTTGAATTAAAAAAAAATAGTAGTCTATGAGATATTCACTAATTTTTATCTGTTCCAAATTTAATTTAGATCCGTTATGGAGTGATGTAACAAACGTCCATACCGCCATCAACAAATACAGTGGTATTTGTAATGTTACGTGCTGTCCAACGCGATTTGAACTGCTTAAAATTTAAAAAAAAAACAACATGTTGCTCTGTGTACTTCCAGTCAGTGCTCTACATCTATAGGAAGTTAGAGATATATATATGCTATTAAACATCCATATATCCATGAAAACTTTGGTATTTTTAAATTAACAAAAAGTAAGATTATATGATCGAAAGTAAGACATAAGTATCGTATTAGCACAATAAGTGTACTAATAACTAGCTAGTGCTCGCGACTTTGTCCACGCAATATTAAGATGAAAAAATGACCCGAAATTTCGTCGCGCGATTTTGAGCTAAACTATTTAACTACGTCGTAGTCTTTGACTCCAAAAATCAAACAAAAAAAT